GGAAGCCACGGGGAAGCTGGGTCAACGTTTGTTGGTCGACTGATTTCCTCAAGATCGGCTGGTTTTCTGCTAACATCAAAGCGCTTGCCACGTACTCAAGTTACTCGGACGTCGGTGGCATTTGGATGTGAACTTTGGTTGGAACCCTGGAACATTCTTGAACATAATTCCCCCGTTCTCATGATGTCGCAAGGTTCGTCGAGAATTCAGGCCCCCAGACCCCGTTCGGTCAGGGACTGGTAACATCTGAGATGTCGGACTTGGGTTCGTGGTGTTTGAGGGGGTTTCCCCTTTTGGGGCTGACCACCCTGGCACGCACGGATGGCCGGGGACTGCATTGAATCTTCAGAGTTGGCGCCTCAAAAGTGGGGGACACGTCCTGAATGATGCTGTCCACAAAGGATCTGGGACCCGGCGAAAATACACCCATCTCAAGGATCCTTCTTTCAGGGGACTGCTTTTAGAGTTCAAATGAGGTACTGGTAAAGGTGTCCAACTGGGGTTGCTTTTTGAGGGGTACAGGGTTTTTCGAAAGGGACACCAAGGGGAACCCGCCCATTTGTTTGAGTCCTTTTGAATCCATCAAGCTGTGCTCTCATGGCAGGCCGCTACAAGTGCCCCAGGTGTGGTGGGCCGAAGTACATGGCCCTCGGGCTGCATCGCACTAGGCGCTTGTTTGAGCGATTTTGTTCTATTAGATTCACTTGAATCGATCAGGGAATAGCCCAAACAAGATTTGGGTGTGGGTCAAAATTAAAAAAAACAAAACAGGGGACCGCAGGTTTTAGTCCATGTTGCCACTTCCCAGGGTTCTATTTTGGGTACCTATTTTTGACCCACAGCCATTTCTGCCCGCCCATGGAACAACGCGCAGAGTTGGGAAGTTGTTTTTAAGAAGCGCTGACAACGAAAGGCTCCTCCGGGCGCGAGGTGTGGGTGTTACTCACGCATCGGCTCTGAGGGCCCTGATGAGCACTGCGCACGTGTGGACTCGCGAGGCAGAGGGAGGGCACGTCTCTCTGCACCAGAATTGGGAACCCCGAAATGGGTTGCCCTGGCTTTGGCGCCCTTGAAAAACACAAAGAAAGGGTTCTCCCCCCAAAAAAAATGCAGCCTCTGCCTTGTTGCACAGGCGCGTGCATGTTCATGACAGATATCGGGGATGTGCTGAATTGAGAAAGGGCTTCGGACAACTGTACTACTTCAAGCTGCCAATCTTTAGTCATGCCTGTTGATGATTCAGGGATGATGTAGGTATGCTGCGATGGTCCATAGACAGCCTGGTGTTGAACACTGACTCGCCATGTTTGTTTTCGCTAGTGATGTGCGCTGCCACAGTTATTCCACCGGAAGCAGCTGACGAGTGCAGACATGGCAATACCCAAGTGCTATTCTGTTCAACCAGGTCAAATATCAACATGCTTTGATGAAGTGAAACTTCGATGCAGATGAGGCATGCAACGCATGACAGGGAAGCAAGCATCACATGTGCACAGATGGCTGTACATTTAAACACACCCATATCACATACGATCCTTGAACCCTTGCGAGAAGCTCATGTGATTCCCGACCCTTGCGCGTCAGCGAGAAAGGCCAACGACGTTCGCAGCCATACTGAGCCCGTTTAGCTTTCGCCGACCGGCCAAATGGCCACAGGCTTCGCAGCGCAAAACCCAGTGCGAGCGCTGCGAGTGCGAGGTGTGCTCTATGAGCTGGGTGAACCTTGGGGCATTCCTAGGCGTGTAGCCGGGGGCTGCGCCCGAAATGTGTCGTGTTTTTTGTGGAAATGCCAACAATGGGATGTTGTTTGCCGGGCGTTTGGATTGAGGTGTGGGTTGTGATCTTGTCCGGAGTCCGCAGCACTGGCTCCAAAGGAAAGAGCAGTGCATCCTGTCTTCGCGCCCTTACGCCTACGCCATGGGCGCATTCCAATGTTCCAAGGAGGGCAAGGCCCTCGACTGCCCGAGTTTGGGTCAGATTCAAACCTCGTGGGATGTCGACGGGCCGGCGATGGGCGAGACTTGGTCATCAGGACTGAGCCTGGTCGGGGGGGCCGACCAACCCATTTTTTTTGGCGGGACCATGGGCTAACGTGGGTGTGTCTTTTCTGAGGGAGCCCTTCTTGGGTTGGTTGGAAAGGGAACCAAAACGAAGCCACCATTTTTTGGGGGTCTCCCCTGATTCCCCAACCTGAGAAGGCTTTGGGCCTGCGCTTTCCTCATGTTGCGTCAACATTAAACCACCAGGAATTGGACCGCAGATTTGGGTCCATGTGTTTGTGTACTTACCAGGGTTCCATTCTGGATACCGAGTTTTGATCCACAGCCAATTTGCTATGGTTTTGCGGTTGAGCATCAGGACTTCTTCAGGGAAATCTTCTCGGTGGGCCTGTCTTCTACCAACCGTGCCGCTTGTTCTGCCATGTAGTTGGCCACCCGCGTGCAAGGGCGATGTGTCCGACATTGGGCTGACAAAAAGCTTTGGGTTCTGTGTCCAAAGTTGATGGTTTGTTGGGTTTCATGTGAGGTAGTCAGTTGACCAGGGGGGGCCATGGGTCAAAAGGCCGTGCCCCCAGTGAACATCCCAATCCCCACTAAAATAGGTTCTAGAATGGGTGGCGAATTCACCTACCAACCAAAATGGGATCCCAAAACGGTTTTGACAACCACAGCCAATTTGTGTGCATGTTGTTTCCGCATCAGTTTGGCACTTGGCATGTAGCACGAGGCTTCCAGCATGGCTGCCACTCCGCTAGTGGTGCGAGATCCGGGGCTCCATCGAGCTGCCAGACGGCCATGACAGACGAGAAGACTCGAGCTGTACAGAATGTACCGGATTCATTTCAATCAATTCTGGGTTTCTGATGTTGATTGACGTGCTCTTTTGTCGTTCCCCGAAACCAAGGACCCTCGCTGGGTTTTGTACACTAACCGGAAAGGCAACAAATGCCTCTTGGCGTAACGGCTTGGTTCGGGGCCCGAACGCTCGGATTTTGTTAAGGTGCTGCATCGCACTCACTCGTGAGCCGCAAGTTTTGTCACGCGAGGCGCTGAGGCTTCCGCCCATGTAAAGGTCGAATTACTTTGCTCGAGCGGCCGAAAGTGTTTGGCCGCTTAGATCGTTTGGAGCGTCAAGCACAAGCTTTGCAAGCATTGCCTGAAGATAGATACAGGGTCGACAGATCATGTAACGCCTTCCAAATGAGATATTTGCTCTTCGAACTTAACCGCATGTAGAGGATTTGGATGGCCAGTACGGCATTTGGGTCCTCAAAGAGTCAAGTCATTCAACACACGAGCGGCTTGCGTGCCAGCAACCAGAGCTCAAGCACTTATTTGCGTTCATTGGTTGTCCTTCGCAACAAGATGGGCTGCCTTCAAAGCTCACGGCCGCCCTACGTGCCTCACGTGCCGCAGTACAGCAACGCGGCTCCGACGGTTCCGGCGGGCTACAAGCCAGGAGGCAGGAAGCGCTCAAAACCTTAGGCGGTTTTAGGTGGCTCTACGGCTGGTCAATTCGGGTGCAGTGGGGCGTGTATAAATCCTGATGAGCAACCACAAGTCAATGGTTTCCAACGCTGCTCAGACGGGGCCTAGCCATCGGGTTGCATCGACTTTTGGGACTGAAACAACCTGAGTGTCACAACGGCACAGGCAAAGCTGTGTCGCCAGTGGCGTTGGACTCCGCATTCAAACAAGAGCCATTGCTACTCGAGCCCTGAGGAGTGGTGCAAGGCCAGCCTGTCGGCTATTCTCACGAAGCCCAACCTTACCAGACGTACCAAGATGCCTACCAACCCTACCAGTCGCAGTACCAGCCTGGGCCCTACCAGTCGCAGTACCAGCCTGGGCCCTACCAGTCGCAGTACCAGCCTGGGCCCTACCAGGCTGGGTTTGAGGCGCCCTACCAGGCCCAAGCCTACCAGGGGCCCGCCTACACAGGGCATGGCAGCTTGGACTGGAACCAGAGCCGGTTCCTTTTCACTGGCGTGGATTGCATGCTATGGCGAGTCAGCGACGACTCAGACAATGAGGGACTTGTGTGTTCCGGGCAGCTGATTTCCAAGCTTCCAGGATTGGGTATACTCCTCAAGCTTAGCAATTTGCCGTTTTTTTCCTAGACTTGACGACCCTAGCGTTGGGTGGACATTTGAGCTGTCCCGTACTAAGGCAACAGTTACTCTGGCGGCGGCGGCGGCAACGGCATGGCTATGGCCGGTGCTGGTTTAGCTGGGTTGGCCGGCGGATTCATCGCTGCTGAGCTTATCGACGACATCTTTTGATGGGGAAGGACTAAAGAAGCAGTCCGAGTAAAACAGATAGGCCTGCCAAACTCAGATCTCCTAAGCAATTGATTTGGCGGAGCTTGGCTGTGCCACTGTACAGAACGGCACATGCTTGCAGATGTAAAGTCGTTGCCGGAAGGAATTCGACTACCGCTTTGAACTTGTACAGACAGAAGCGGAAGAAACACCGTTTCAGAAGAAACACGCTAAAACAATTGCAGCTTGCGAATGATGTTATCCTCGGTACATTGCAACATTTGTTGCAAGGAGTTTCATGATTTGCGACTTGAGTGCTTGACGTGTGGACTCGTTTGTGGTAGATACTGCAGTTGGCACATCGTTCTAGAGACCATGCACGAAAAGCAGGTCTGCTATCCAGCACTCTATTTCTCTGTGAGTGGTTGATATGAGAGATGCGGCAGGGCCACGTCAAGATAGCTTGATCGTGCCGGCTCATCAGGCCTGCGCTGGGCAACATAGATGCGGAAAGCGACACCGAGCTCGCCGCACACTCACTTCACTGCACACATGGCAATCTGAAGCAGCCAGGAACAGCAAGAATGCAGCCACGCGCATTTCAACACTCTGCGCTAATGTCCTTTCAGCATGTTTGTATCACCAAGTGTATCATCCGCTTTGTTCTGACATCAGAAGTTTGCAATTCGCCACCAAGAGAAGCAAGAGTCTGTTCACTCTGAGCAACTGCTTGCCGTGAGCTGTGCAAGATGCCTATGTTAACATGAAGCCAAAGAAGCCTGCTGGGGGCTGAGACATTGCGAAGTTTGCGGGATGCCATCATGCTATGATGCCACGGGTTTTTGGTGCTCAAAGTTTCTGGCAGAGGAAGCTCTGTTCCGATGGGCTTTGGGTTGCGGAACTTGACAACCTGATGGTTCGTCCTTTACGTCAAAATTCGACACTGAAAAGCAACACCTAAACCTCCAACTGGCCTTTGGTCGTGCACGTTCCCATCGTTCTGAATGCGTCGCAGATCTGGTCCCCACTTTCGACTGTCTAGGGCTGGGGACATGAACTTGCGAGCTGCTTTTTCATGAGGGACACGAACCATTGACTTGGTTTTCTTTGGACCAAAGACTTGAGCCCACAGATTCGATTTTGGACCCAGCCCACCATGTTTGGTTCGGCTTCTCCGAGGACTATGATGTGGACTTCGCAAGAAGCCCCGGCCTGGATCAGGCGCAGGCATCGGAGACTGGGCAGCCATGTCAGCCAGTGCGCTTCTCTCCCCCTTTTTAGAACGGAGGGTTCCCGACTAAAATAGACTACAGGAAAAAAAATCGGGTACCATTCTTCTAACCTCTCTACTGGAGGACCTAGGCAGAGTTAGATAGCCCCCCAATTGGAGAGTAACTTTCGTGTTGGCGTGTTGATCCGTTGGTTTTATTCCATTTTTGTTTCCATGTTGAACACACCTGTCTCGTTTGGTAGTTTGGTAGGGACGGGACGGGTCAACCCCTGATTTTTTTTTTTGACAAGGACAGGGAACGTGCGAAACCCCAGCAAAAAATGGGTGGGGTTACGGGGCCGCTGGTTATCCATTCTTCCCAGCGGTTCTTTTCCAGTCTATTTACCTCTTGGATGAATCGGGAGGCCGGCAGCTGTTCCCTTTTGTCGAAAAGAGGACAAGGATCCGTGCCTTCCGCTTACCAGGGGTGCCCTCAAAAAGCCGAAGGCCTACAAAAAGAGTGCCTCACCCACAAAATGGGAGACCCCAATTTTCAAAAAGAAAAGAATAAAAACACGTTCGGCGATGCCCCGCATTTTTCGCGCCGCCTCCCCCCCCCCCACTTTCTTGGAGGCGACCGTCTCCCCAAAAAACGCTCCGCAGGTCGCCTCTGAGATGGGCCACGCCCTGCGATTGCGAGGCGCGCGAAAAAAAGAGGACATGGCTATAGGTCAAAACCAATAGTACCATTTTGGGGTAGGTGCACCACCCATTTTAGTCTATTTTAGTGGGGAGGGTACGGGTTTTGGACCCATGGACATGGCTTTCGGCATGCTCGGGGTGTCCGCTGGGCTTCGGTTTTCTCTTTCTAAGCACTTCAATCGCGCGCCGTGGGCCAGCCGGATGACGCCCGAACAAAAAGAAAACGGGAAAACGGGAAAACGGGCAAACCGCCGGTTCTTGTTTTCGCCGTTTTTTCGTTTTCGCCGTTTTCGCCGTTTTCGCCGTTTTCGCCGTTTTCGCCGTTTTCGCCGTTTTCGCCGTTTTCGCCGTTTTTGCCGTTTTTGCCGTTTTCGCCGTTTTCGCCGTTTTCGCCGTTTTCGCCTTTTTCGCCGTTTTCGCCTTTTTCGCCTTTTTCGCCGTTTTCGCCATTTTCGCCGGTTTCTCGCTTTCCTCTTTTTTTTTCGTCTTCCTGTTTTTGCCGCTTTCACCGCTCTGCCTTTGTAGCTGGCTTGCCGCAGTTTAGTTTCGATGCTTTCGCCGTTTTCCCGTTTTCGCGGCGTTCACCGATTCAATAAATGAACGAGTGAATGAATGAATGAATGAATGAATGAATGAGTTGATCCAATGCATTAACTTTCCCCGTTTTCGCCGTTTTCCTGTTTTCGCCGTTTTCGTCGTTTTCTCGTTTTCTCGGCGTTCGCCGTTTGAATGAGTGTACAATGACTAGAATAAATGAATGAAATGAATGAATGGATGGATGGATGGATGGAGGAAGGAAGGAAGGAATGAACGAAAGAAAGAACGAAAGAAAGAAATGAAATGAATGCATGGACGCATGAATGTATGAATGAGTGAATGAACTAATGAACTAATGAATGAACTAATGCATGAACGCATGAATGCATGAATTAATGAATGACAGAAATGAATGAGTGAAAAAACTAATGAATGAAGCATTGAATGAATGCATGGACGAATGAATGTGTGAGTGAATGAAAATGAAATGAAATGACATGAAATGACATGAAATGACATGAAATGACATGAAATGACATGAAATGACATGAAATGAAAGCAAAGGAAATAAAATGAAAATGAAAATGGATGAATGTATGAAGGAATGACTGCATGAAGGAATGAAGGTATGAATGAAAGAAATAATGAATGAATGCATTAATGAACGACTGAAAGAAAGAACGGAAGAATTAATTGAAATGAATGCATGAACTTATGAATGCATGAATGAATGAATGAACAATATATGAATGAGTGAATGAACTAAAGAACTAATTCATGAACAACTGAA